TTATTTCATTCTATTCCCTGGTCCTGCTGAGGAGGGGAGTGATAGAGCAGCTTGGTGGGCTCCTGGCTTCCAGCCCAGGCCAGCCCACCACGTGTCTGTACTGAGAAATGCAGATTTAAGTGTACGTGACAGGATTCCTTCTTTAACTTGCAAAGCACGGTAGTAAAGCCAAGCTTTATAGAGTTTGACAAGGCACCAAATTTAAAAGCATAAAAAAAAAGAAAGTAAGGCAAGTCAGTAGTCAAGAATTCTCCCTTTTCAACTACAGGGTTGTATCAGCACATGATGCTGTGCAGTTCTCTCACATCTGTTCCACGCTCAGAATTTTTAATGCTGAAAATGCATCGTGTGGTCAGAATCTCTTGTGATTCCTCACAAATTACATCTGTCTTCTCCTTTCACCTTTTTCTATCATTCCTGTCTTATTCAAGCAAAATCCTTGTCCACTGATCCCTAGTGGTGTAGTTTGGATGCCAGAATTTCAAATTACATTAGACAGATGAGAAAATGCATAAGAGAATCCATTTCTTAATTTATGTTGATGAAGAAAATACCTCCAATCCCCTTTTTGGCTTCCCCTCCCCCCTGTGCAGAAGAAAATAAAGATTTGCATGTTTTTTAGTTATAAGTCTAATACTTGTTGCAGTAGCACAACTGAAGTTAATGTACAAATTGACTTAGATGCAGCTCATAAGAAAGCTTTAAGTGGTCTGTTTCCTTTCAGTGATAAAACTTCAGATGGTGAAGAATTAAAATGGAACAGTGACAGATTACAGAAAAAATAATGAAGCTTGATTTTTGAAAATGCATGGTCCATAGTAAAATTTACTGTGATACTTCTCCAGATGTATTATTCAGTTATAGTTGTAGCCTTCTACAATATACACAGTAGAATTTTTTTTCTACAGTCTTCTGAATTGTATATTTGCCACTGTCAAGAGACTAGTAGGCTGTATCAGCTGATTCAGCCCTGTAAATTCTGTATTTTTTGGAGTGGGAAGGAAACAGGAGAATCGGGAGCTAAACTCCAGTAGACTGGATTCTTCAAAATGTTCATTGCTTTTGGTGGCGGTGTGATGGTGGGAAGTATGAGAAGCTGTGCACTTCTGTAGGTGGAGTAACAGTTTTAAATCTGTGAGTCTCTTTGGGATTTCGTTTTCCTCCACTGTTCATCATATGTAAGGCTTTAGGATGCTTATGTGCTCTGGCTGAAAGCACGCTGTGACAGGATAGTTCTCAGCAGGCAATTCTTTTGGGACCAGTTAGTTGGCATAGATTAGAGGAAATTCCTCATGTAGAACATGAGTCAAAATCCGGGAAGGGCCATTAATTATCTTCTTCTCCTAGTTTTGTTTCAGTTTATGGGGCAATCCACAGTTCCATGGATTACATGGACTTGGACTATAGAGAAGGACTGAAAAAGTTCTGAGAGAACTATTTATATATTGCCAAGAAATTGGCATGGAAATATTTGTGGTCAACTGGTCTGTTTTTAATAGAAATTATAAAAAATATGAGAGATCTTTAATGTTTTTTTTCTTCTAAATCGTGTAAAGTTTTATGTCTGCGTAGTGACAGCAGTGACAGATATTCACAGCACTCCTACATTCCTCCCCCTTGCAGTTCATTATACAATTTCTCTCCACCCTCACAACATTTGTTCTTTGCTTTACTTAGCTAGCTGCAGATAGAAAAGTCTGTGCCAGCACGAGTCTAAATCTGGTCTGCCATGTTCTAACTCTTGAAGGTGTGCAAAACCAGACTCTTTTATATCACAGTAGCAGTAGTCTGCCACAGTTGAGGCTGTTAGTTTTACATCATGACTGAGAAGCAGCCACAACTATTGTTGTGCTTAGTGGTTCTGGGGAGAGCCCAAGAACACCCTGTGTAGGCTGCTGTGGGGCAGAAGAGGAAGTTCTCTCACTTATCTTAACCAGAATTGCTGTTTGAGTTCTGATTTCCTATTGTTTTTATGTTGATCCAGCAGTTTTGATTTTTAGAGCTTGCATTTAGGATTGTGTGTTAGCAACGTCTGTATCAAGTTTGCTTTTATTTGTGTGTTACAGCATTGTAAATATTTCAGAATTAGTTTCCCTTTGCTTAGCTAGATTTTTATAGACATTTGATGTACAGAGACCAAGTGACTTTGGGAAAACATTTACTTATAAATAGTTTTTAGCATCAAGTAATAAGTATTGTCTAATTTAGCATTAGAAGGATGTATCTCAAATCATTGTTCAGATCAGAGAAAACAATTATTTTGACTATTTCTAGACTACTTGATGAATGTTGCTGTTGCTTAGCAGTTGTAGCATACTAGCAGAGAGAAGGTTCTTGGCCAGGTGAAAGAACAGAGTGATTTTGTGGATGATTATGGTTAGATTTATTGCTAATATGTTACCTAAATATTACCAATGCAGTATCTAAATTACAACTCTATTATAATGGATTACAGTGTAATCTGAACATGGTCCCTCCTGTTGAATCACAAGCTTCATTGAGACCTGCTTGCTTTCTGAATTTCTCAGAAAAGTCTTGGTGCATCTCGGTCCACATAACCTTTTAGGTTTTGGTCAATAGTCTGTGTCCAAAGAGAGTATCAAATAAGCAGGTTCAGCCAGAAAAATTCAGGTTTACAGACTTTGGACTTGCAGAATTCACAATTATAAAGCAGCAAAGCACTTGTGTAGCTACTTTAGGATTTTACCTCTGTTTTGGTCTGGATCTTAGTGCTGTTACTCACCCATTCCCTTGGGCTACTCTGCAGGCATTCTTGCCAGGGAGGGGATCCACCTGCAAGCTGCCTGTGACCTTGGGACACAGTTTGCCCAGTTTGCCCAGTCTTCAGCAGCATTTTACGCTGTTTTGCAGGCTGATGTGCACCAAAGTCAGCTGCAAACATCTCAGCTCCCCTGTCTTTGGAATGTATTAACGATGTGAGCATCCAGACAGTTCCTCCTGCAATATTCACCTGGTGTGCTTTCTCTCAGGACAAACCACATTGCACGAGAGATGGCAGAAAGGGAGAGGGCCTGTGTATGTGTGTGTGGGTGCAGGATACAAGCAAAGACCCGTCTATCTTTTGTCACTGTCACAGTAGTGAAATAATTTTGGAATGCAGAAGATGTCAGCCAGTCTTGGGGTCATAAACACTTGGTATATTAGTAGATTCCAAGTGGGAAAGCTGCTACATCTAGAGGAGTTGTAAATTTATTGGCAGCTTTTAAGTTTATATGGATAATAAAAAAGATGATGAGGTTAAGAAAAGGTAAGAATTGCCATTAAATAAAAGCAGGGCCATAAATGAGTGGCCTACATTGGTATGCTCTTAACTGAGAGTGCCTAATAAGATGCAAATACTAAGAATTAAGATCTGGACATTTATTAAAACAGTGCTTATTTAATGACAGAATTGATTCAGAGTGTCTGACTGTATGGAATTCTAGCAGTTGGCAATGCTTTTTTCCATTTGAAATAACTGACAAACATGATTTCAAAAGGTTGTTTTCTTAAGGTTTTACATTTTTTGTTTAGTTTAAATGGTTGTTACAAACTGACAAATTTACCTGCAATTGTGTAAAACATGACGGTAATATCAAATGAAATGTTTTGTTGTTTGTTTGTCTGTTTTTTGTTGTTGTTTTTGTTGTCTTTGTTTTTCGAATGTAGAGTTGCAGAATATTGATTAAAGCAAATATGTCTCATGACATACATTTATGTCCCCTAATTCCTGCAATTAAATGTTTTCTGGTACAGACTGTGTGATTTTTCAGGAATTCATATTTCTAAAAACTCAGTGTGCTGTGTAGGCAGTGAATAGAGGGGAAAAAATGAGAAAGAAAACAAGTTGTCACATAAAGATATAATCTGAAATGAACATCATAAACCATAGTAATTGAGGATAATTATCGATGTTCCAACCTTAACGTGGGCAAAATCAATTTTTATTTTGATCCGTGTTGAATAGAGAATGCAAGACTTACAGAGAAAGTACAGAGAAAGACCCCTGTGCTCAGATGTAGAACAGACATTTTAGGACAAGTTACTGTGTTTTGAAAAAACCTAGAGGTGAAAAAGAACAGTAATGTCAAATAGGAATGTTACTATCCACCGTGGGGCAAATTATTTTTAATGTATTTTTCTTTGTCACATCTATTGAGTAAAGTCTGTCTATAAGTTTATATATTTGAGTACTGTGAAGTTGCTGTTGCCTTTCTGTATAACTCAATAAAAGTCTTTTTTTTTCTGTTGAAGATACTTTTTGTTGAATTCAGTTCTTTCTGTTGAATCTCCTTTGCTTGCACCTGACCTTTATTTATGTTGATTTTGCTTCATTTTTTCATTTACCATGCTGTTCAGTTTTTGGATGCCAGAAGAACCAAGGTTTGTCCACTCTTTGCAGTCAATTTGTTTTTCAAAATTCAGTATTGTTTAGTGTGGGGTTTTTTTGTTTGCTTGTTGAGATACAGTAATCCTGTTTACTAAACATGTTCATAGCTTAAGCTGCCAAAAAGAAAAAAAATGAAACCAATCAGCCCCTTCCTAAAGCCCCTTTAATTATAGTGAGTGCTTTGATTGACTTCCTAAACAGCAGTACTGTTGAGTACCACGAAGAGCAGAATTATCTTTAGTCTATGAAGTAATTTAGAAAACATGGAATACTGAGTCTTTCAGCTTTGTAGGTACATATTGACTGTACTAATGGATGTGTCACTGCCTAGTGTTTGGGTTTGTTGGTTTGCCTTTCGTTGCTATTATTTTTCTCTGTAGCTGACATTATTTGTGTCTGTGTATGTTGTCTTCTTTTTTTCCTAGAAGCACTTGAAAGATATCATTAGGGATATTGTCACCTGCATCTGATATTTTATGAGGTCATTTGATATACTTTCATCACTAATTCTAATGACTTTTTGTAAGAGCATACAACAAAAGTTTAATCCAGGACTAATTCTACCTTCAGATCCTATATTGATTCTTTTTCTTTGTTTTCTTTATTGCAGCATCTGCAGTTGACAATCCAGGCACTTCAAGATGAGCTTAGAACCCAGAGAGACCTTAACCATCTTCTGCAGCAAGAGAGTGGAAACAGAGGGGCTGAGCATTTTACCATTGAGCTCACAGAGGAGAATTTTCGAAGGCTTCAAGCAGAACATGATAGACAAGCTAAAGAGCTCTTCCTGTTGAGGAAAACTCTAGAAGAAATGGAGCTTAGGATTGAAACACAAAAGCAAACGCTAAATGCCAGAGATGAATCAATAAAAAAGCTTCTGGAAATGTTGCAAAGTAAAGGTTTGCCGTCTAAAGGAATGGAAGAAGACAATGAGAGAACTCGAAGGATGGCAGAGGCTGAATCTCAGGTTAATCATTTAGAAGTGATTTTAGATCAGAAGGAGAAGGAAAACATGCATCTTAGAGAGGTAATGAAAAACTATTTTTTTAAATATTTATTTGTTAAAAATGGTTGAAGTACTTGTTGCAGTTTTAGATATATAGAGTATTGAAGTGTTTTCTTTTTGTGCTCTAATTTTCTTGTGGAAAAGATAGTATGCATTTCTTTTACATTTCTAATAAATACACAGCAGGACTGTATGACATTGGAAAGCAAGTATAGGAAATTATGGAAAAGAAATTTGTGTATTTGGGGTTTATTGTCTCTCTGTTGCTGTGCAAAGTTTTTGTATCCTTTTATTTTCACAAACTGGTGTTTGGCCAATGAAGACTAGACCTGTTGAAGAGGGAAGTGACGCTGCTGCTGTAAACTGAAGAGTCATGAGTGCACACTACCTTTGTGTTTGATTTTTATACCTCTGTTGTTTGAAATGAGTGTTTTAAATGCTTTGCCTTCCATATAAACAAAGGCTTCTGCTTATGTTTGTTTCTAAAGTATTTTTGTGTGGTGATACTCAAACTTTTTAAGTAAATATATGGTAATGTTGCCACATTAAAACTATGGGCTGATGGCTGTGCTTTGAGAGTACCTACCTGCCCCAGCTGCCCACATCACTTGTAGATGCATTTTTGGGACTGGATTTGGGATGATTGGATTAGTACAATTGAAAGAAAATCTGGCTTGGTGTCAAGCCCATCTGCCCTTTGGCATCCCAGCAGCATTACCATGTGAGCAGTGTCAGGCAACAAGACAGGGTGAGTCTCCCTCACAAACACCCTGTTGTTTTCTGCTAAGAAGGGTGAAAATTGCAGGGAGGTGGTGTACAGGCTGCCCACAGCAGGGGAAATCAGGATAAACAGGTGTGTTTCCTTAGAAACTCAGCAACAGTGTAGTCCCATTGAACTTACAGTCTAGTAAAAACACCAATTTGCCCGACAGATCAAAGTGTGAATGAAATTAGTGCAAAAGCAGAGGAAACTATTGTTGGCCCTTGTGTATGACTAAACCTATAAATGTTAGAGATTAAGAACAGCTATTTACAGAATGCTGTCAAAATACTTTGTTTGCTGTGGGCAAATTGTTTTATATTTAGCTTATGGTCTTCCCTAACCTAGAATGTGTGTTGAGGACTCAGTAGTATCTGCTGCACATCTCAAGATGAAAAATTAGAAAATTTTGCAAGTCACAATGATGCATTTCAGTCAAGTTTTCTCGTGAAGAAACAAATCCTTGGATCCTGAATCTTTTCACAGGCAAAATTTTAATTAAAAACTGATGCTACCCATTCATGGATTCTGGAAGGAGTTGCATAAGGAGTTAATGTTGCTGAGTTTGTGATGAGAGAGAATTGTTGAACAAGTTCTATAAACTAGCAGACAAGTTTCTGGATTTAGATCTGCTATTCTCAGAGTATTACATACAGTCTGTTTCAAAGGTGGATGATTATGTGATTGTATTTCATCTGTTGCAGCAGTATCACTGAAGTTTTTGAATCCTTGGCTAGTCCAAGGAATGCTGAAGGGAGATCTTATTGCTTCTTGTAGACTGTGCGTGTTTCTCCTGTATTTATACTGAATTAACTTGATGTTTCACAGTTCCCTCTGGGTTGTCCTCATGGGCTGAGGAAAAAGTTGTGTCTCCCTCAGTTTTCATGAGGATATAGAGGTTGTCTTTTGTCTGGAGCCCTGGATGGGGTTTACTGGAGTTTCTGCTGGTGACATGCTGATATGCCTTAGTAACTGGTCAAGGTTTAAAAATTTACTAGATCGGTTGTCTGGAATGTGTCCCAACCACTTTGGCAGGAACTATCTAGTGTTTTGGAGCTTTTGGCTCACAATTTCCTTGTTATTCTAAGAATTCAAGGCTTTGGGTGAAGTCTGTCTCTCCAACTCTCTTCCTGTTGTGCATGGCATTTACAGGTTTTTATTTTTATATTTTTTTAAATTTCTGCATATGAGAAGTTCGTTGTAGGGAGCTTGGATGTATGATGTGTAGGCTATATGAACTCTTTAGAAACAAAATGTTTGGTAGGTGCCTATTTGTTTATCTGGGACTCTGGATCTGATTGATCAAGTGGGCTCTTGGAAAATGTTCTGAGGTTCAAATTTTGTCTTTTGCTTCCTCGTTATGGAAAGTTGTCTGCATGCTTTGAAGCAATATCAGACATTATGTATGGTTAAAAATATTACATATTTGTTAAAGGTCCAAGTAGATCAACTTTTGATCTTTATGTGTAGCTTGGCAAGTCTTTGTTGTTCTGCAGTGCTCATTTGAGTTGCTGTCACTGCTTGTAGTCTTCATCCTGCACAATACAGTTGTTCAGCATGAGAAACCAGGAGTTATTGTGTTGAATCTTCTGCAGTAGTCTCCCCAGTGGACTGATATTTTTATTTTCTTAACTGGTGTTTGTAAGTTTTCACCCTAACTGTGTAAATGACTCTGCAGAGTTAATGGATTTTTTTTTTTTGTTCTCCTAAGAATGCTTTGAAAGTAAATCCAAATTTAGATACATTTTTACTGAAATTAATTCATCAATTGTTTAGTGGTCACTCAAATTGTGTTAATCTTTCTATATCTCTAACAAAATATTTGTCATTTTAGAACGTCATCTAAAATATTCTGCTTTTCTTATTTTTACAGGTTGGATTATAGAGCTCAAGTGTTGATTATATTTCTGGGAAACTAGTATATTGTCACATGTTTAATTCAAAAACAGAAACAAGCGTTCAGGATTTGATCAGTTTTGCTCTTTTGTTTTCTGACACTGCACTTGAAACTGTCTGCACCAGAGGAGGTTCAGGCTGGACATTGGGAGTAATGGAAGGGGTGGTTAAACATGACCTTTCTTCTTATCCTTAAGTGTCTATCACTTTGTCAGTCATTAAACATTTCTCATATTAGTTTTCTGCCCATTTCACACAAGCATGCATGTTACCAGAAAGCAATATCTGTTCTGTTTCAAAATGATTGGCTGAATATCCAAGAATCATGCAGAAATTTCTCTTTTTTAAGCCGCTGATTGTTTCTTTTTTCATCCCTGTTTCTGGCCATAGCAGAATTTCGTAATATAGCTGCCTTCAAAGATCTGGAATTTCTCCAGGCCTTAGATTATATTTCTTAGAGCAAGTACAGGCAAGAGTCATGGTATTGGCTAGTGTACCAGAGGCAGAGAAATAACTCCAGAAAATAAAACAACCCATTTTTTAAAATTTTGTTTTTATATTTTTAGCAGATACGTACTGACTTTGGTGTGTTAACTTCCTGGCCTTCAAAGATTGTACTGTATCTTCTGCATCTGTAAACTTTGTTTCACAGAGGCAGACTTTTGGTGACAGGTTTACTCAAGTTGTGTGTTTGAAAGTCTTAGGAATGGCAAATGTGAGGCTTATTATCCAGGAGGAGGAGACTAAAGCTGAAGTTGGAATCCTGCTCTTTTACAGGAAGAGCAAAGAGTGTCAGTAAGGTTCATTAAAATATTGGGAAATAAGCTATGCAAAAAATGGGGTTAGATTTCTTTCCACGTATCAAGGAATTTAAAACCTGGGCAATAAGCTTCCACAAGGAGAGCTGAACTTAGTTCCCGATTCACAAAGCAAGAGAGAACAAATAGAACTCTACACAGCAAAAAGTGTGAGTGTGTGTTTCTGCTCCAGTTTTGGAGATGCAGCCTCTTGGGGAGAGAATGTTGAGCTCTTTTTCATTGTTTCTGGGAACTTCTGCCCAGTTTGCTCTCAGTTTTCCATCACTGAGTTAGACTGAATCCTATGTCTGTGACTAACCAACCTTGCTCAAATATTTATCAAACCCCAAAATGATTAGCATTTGCCTTGATAAGGAAATAATGTGTCCTGTAAGGAATGAAGTGGTCTTTGCAAATAGACTTAAGAAAAAGGACATTCTTGGTCTGGTAGTCTCCCAGTAAGTATGTTGGTGGTTGAAAATCTGCCTTGAAGCCATAATGACATACCACGGCATTCTTCATGTTCAGAATTAAATAATCACGGAGATCACTGAATATACATTCCTGTCAGAAAACACAAGATGGCTGCCTTAAAGTTCTTAAATTGGTTATCACATGTCTCTTCTAGAATTTTAAATAAACATTTGTTTCTCTATAACTTTGGGAGAACTGTAGGTAATATGGGGATTTTATCATGTGGAAATCTAGCACAGATGTTTGGTATTACTTTTTTTTAAACATAGTGACCACACATTATTTACCCTAAGTACCATTAAGTATTTTTTTATTATTGCTATTAAAAACTTGCCTTAGGCGAAGTCCCACTAAATCTCTAGTGAAGTCAAATGTTAAAATTCCAACAAGTATTTTATTATATATACATACACGTATATTACACATGCCCTCTCTGTACAACATGCAATTTCACTAAAACAAATTCTGAGATCATATAGGCTTTAATATACACATTTTAACTCTTATCTTGCATGTATTCTTAAAATAATGTTGTTGCCCATGGTTTAAAGCTACAGCTTTTTTATATTTAGTAGAAAGAAGAACAACACAGCTTCTTTATTATAATTTAAAATGTGCTTCTAAACTTTCAAGGGTTTTTTAAAACTTTGCTCTATCTTTGAACTCAGCTTGGTCAAATAATGAAGGCTGCTGATAGGATTTGAACTGCCATCATGAATTAGTTATTGCATGTTTTTAAAGTTATTAATGGAGCAAAGTTCCTTCTTCCACTGTGAATAGAACAGATGCCTTGCAGACTTTTGGTGTTTACTGTAAATGTCTTACACTGGAGCCAGTAGTAATTTACTAAGGAAATGCTTTATCGACACCAAACGTTTCTTCCCTGAAGTTGGTTATACAGATTAACAACCATTCTGGACTGAGCCTTTTTATTAGGTTCATTAGTGCCTCTTTCCTTTTATTTCTCCTGGCTCAACTCAAAATATTAATCTTATCAGTTGCTATAAAGACAGTTGCTTTCTAGCAAAATATCAATAGTATTATGTGTTTTTAAGGTGACCCCTTAAGTATACAGAAGGACTTTGCAGTGTTGG